CAAAACGCAAACACTCAGAAGGTGGAGGTATGAGGACAGGCGACCTGAATAAGTAAGGTGATTGAGTCAACACACGCGTGCCTGCGTATGGGCATACAGTCTGGCTGATGGAGGTCACCATGGTGTGGTTCAGTGACTGTGGCCACAGCATCAAGTGCTGATGATGGGTGAGAGGGTTTCCTTGTGTTGTGAATGGTTAAGGCCTTTCTATCATTGATCCAAATCGAGTAGAATTACACTGCATTGGCAGCATCGGGATTGCTTCAGGTGATTCTTTCGACGGATGCACCTGTTGTGCATTTACACAAGTCGAAAGTGTTTAAAGATTTCTTACGCACAGCAAAATGATTGAAAGTTGAGATAGGAATTGCGACTACCAAGACAACCCAATTTATCATAAATTTCACCTTCTCACTTTAGCCACAATAAAAAATAAATCTGCATCTGTTTAACAAAAATTGGTAGTTAAATAATTTGCGAACAATGCAATATTTCCGTGCATTGCGAGCAGTATTATTGAGGAGGTTAGCAATGACAACTCCATCCAGCATGATTGCCAATTCGAAGAAAGATTTAGGAGAGACTTTCTTGACATACATGCTCTCAAATACTCAGTTGTGGTTGACATTCTACTCTCCATACTGGATTTATCAAGAACGCGATCCCAAAGCAAAATACTAAGTTAAATCGTGCGAAATAAAAACGTTGCAATGCTGGTCTCTCTTTCCCAATGGAAGAAACGGGATGACTAGCTACTTGCCAGGATGTGCTTCTCCCATTCACCATCGTGCAAAATTAGACCACGTAGTGGCACTGCCGATTAATTCGAACACCTTTTCAAGATATCGCATCACTGAACAAATGTGACATAGCTGTATGATGTGTTGTGTTGGAGAATTTGCGAACACAAGGTTGGATTGAGGTTCCAATCAATGCAGCTGTAGGAAGAAATGCATTCTGTAATATTTCCACAAAGTAACGCTCTGCGACACTGTGGTACTGTGATGGAATGGGGAGAATTAAAGATGGGTCCCTCCAGTCCGTTTTTACTTTGTCCCACAACGACAATTGCAACACACTCTCCTACGCTATCTACACCTAAAACAGCATGTCAGAAACTGCCAAGACTTCATATTCTCAAATTGAGGTAGTAAGTCGGCGCTCTACCAGCAGTGCACGTAGTGGGACTCACAGCAGCAACGTTAGGTTACATGACCGTTGTTTCGAGCAAAATTCCGGAAATTGCAATGAAGACACAAGCGCTATAAATAACCCGTGAAAGAATGAGTTGTTCTTCCTCCTCCTCCATCAACAAAATAAAATTTGCTGGCTAACCTTGCGTTTATTTTGCCATCCTTCCTTTGGAACGAGAGGACTCATTAGATTGGGACAGTTTATCCTGGTAATATTAAGGATTGTGTTTGTTCGGCGCACACTTCATTATGGAGGTAAGTGACACCGGTTCCATCAAAATATTAGGCCGCATTAACCGCCCCTCACCTCAAATGGGCATTCAAGGAAACACGATTTGTGCATTACGGCAATCTCCCATGAAGCACGTTAATTCGATTCGGCAGATGTGTAGGGTAGGAGAGGCGAAACAGTGAACTGCATCTGTTAATGAATGTGACCTCAAATGGAAAAAGCTAGAATTCGTAGTCGCTGCAATGATCTGGCAGTTCAACTTAGTAGGCAGTGAGGGTTTCGACGCTTGCACCATCTCCAGCAACAAATCGACCGACTGAAGGAGAACAGAATGAGTAAACGGACGGACAGATGTAAATGTCAGTTTTCACTGCTACCGAAGGAAAGAAATGCATGGCAGGATTTGACTTAAACTGCCTACTTTACTTAACAGATTATCCGTTTAACAACGCCAAGCATTATTATGATTGTTTGCAGAACCAGCCGCTGTATAATCACTGGCATTAAGATTTTACCTCACTTCCATTCGAACTTTCTGCTGGAACCGTTGAAGTCCTTAATGCAGGTATTTGTAGTAGACGGAAGTTAACCATTCGCCTGTGGTGGTTTGGTGGCCACAAATAGGTGAGTTAAGGTGAACCTCGTTAAGTTATCTTCTGTTATCTCATCGAAGGCCTTCGCAAAACCAGCGGGAGAAGCTTCCGCTGATCGAATCGAATTGATGGTTATCCTAAAGGGTGAGTTCGTGATGTATGGATAAAATAGGATTACGCGAATGTTAGGGTGATTCACGTTTATCAACCTTTGGCCCATCAGCTAAAACCAACAAATAAAGGGTCGTGGCATGCTAGACAAAAATTATTTAGACGTGCACATTTGAAAAAAAAAAGTGCTATGCTTGTTTATAAAGCACCCAACAATTGAGGCCCTACATAATGCTTCGTCTTCTTGCCCACTCGAAACTTATTAGTAGTAGAACGACTACGTGAGCGTGCGGACTGATCCACAGTAAACCGCACCTAGACCTGTGGAAAGAGCTAAGGGTAAGAATAAAACACGTCCAAATTCAGAGATTGCGAGCGATGTTCCCTGTCACATACACATTAGTTCTCATCCCCTCACCATAGCCTTATTCTCACCCCACAAGACTCCTTATATCTGCTTAAATTGTAAGAAGTCCGGTCGCATACAAGCAAGCACACAGTTGTAGCAAGCCCTAAAAGTAAGATGAAAATTGCAAGGAATATGGAAAATGTCCTAAGAGGAAATGAGCCCAAGTCAAACCGAGGCTGCAGATCCCCTCCTCACTCCCACCCCCTCCACCATCTTTTCGTGAATACCACGTCAAGTGCCACCATTTCAAGCACTGAATTTCCCTGCAGCTAAGAAGATACGCGACTGCAGCGCAGCACTACATAGGGATCTAGGTCTAATAAGAAGTGGAAAGACTGGTCCCCAATGCACTATATGTAGATTAAGCTGTAATTGCAGGTCACTGCCCCATTTTCAGAGGTCTACATAGAGGCTTAACTTTATTTAGTGGTTGCGTGATATCGTATCTCTTTGGATGTCCAATGTGGATGCAATGGTACCATTTGGATTCTCATGACTTGTGTGCATTTCTATTTTTTGAATAAACAATCACGTGGCTATGGTGTGAAACGATATGTTGATTTTCTCCTCTTCATTTCTGTCATACCACCCCCAGGTCACGTGATTAAACATCTGAGCTACTTTTAGCGGCCTAGGTCGTGTCACTCATCCGTATATCGATGCAACGACTCACTTCCTTGCAGCATATCCAGACACCTCCTTGTGAACCGGTATATCTGTTTCATTTTATCCCCGTAGGTCACTTCACTCCTACAATTCGCAACAGCTTGCGGTCTGAATTTAGTAGTGGGCGCGTTCAATATCGCTGTCTATCAGAGCATCCCACTGGGTGAGTATAGCTTGAATATATCCACAGGTACCTTCGCCACAGCAAAATTACCTCGTAAGTAGTCTGTGGAACACGTCTTGACCAATTGCGCTACCAAAGTGCTTACTGCATCTTCGGATTAGTAAATGACTCATACTGTTTGACTCAATACAGCATTATAGTCCTAGGTTTTACCCAGTTGGATGCCTTGCATGAAATGGGCGAAGTGGCATGAGATG